CTAACGTAGACCCTCAGCCTCTTGATGGACCTGTAGTCTGACGTAGACCCTCAGCCTCCTGATGGACCTGTAGTCTCTGATGTAGACTCTCTGCCTCTTATTGGACCTTTAGTCTCTGATGTAGATCCTCTGCCTCTTGATGGACCTGTAGTCTCTAACGTAGACCCTCAGCCTCCTGATGGACCTGTAGTCTCTGACTTAGACCCTCAGCCTCCTGATGGACCTGTAGTCTCTAACGTAGACCCTCAGCCTCCTGATGGACCTGTAGTCTCTAACGTAGACCCTCAGCCTCCTGCTGGACCAAGTCTCTAACGTAGACCCTCAGCCTCCTGATGGACCTGTAGTCTCTAACGTAGACCCTCAGCCTCCTGATGGACCTGTAGTCTGACGTAGACCCTCAGCCTCCTGATGGACCTATTCTCTAACGTAGACCCTCTCACCTGGACTTCGATGGAGAAGAGGAATGCAGAGGTGAAGGAGTGAATGGCGGTGACACAGGGGACAGGTCCTGGCTCGGAATCCAGGTCCCGGGGTTCCAGGTCACCGTGAGCAAAGGCCAGCAGCCACCAGGCCATGGCGAAGAGCATCCAGGAGCAGAGGAAGGCCGAGGTGAAGATGAGGAAGGAGTGCTGCCACTTCAGGTCCACCATGGTGGTGAAGACGTCCTGCAGGAAGCGACCCTGAGACACAAACAGACTTTACATCACCTGGACCCGGTCCAGTCTGGTCTAAATTGAAACCCGGACCACCACCATCTACCTGCTCCCGGATGTTCTTGTGAGCCACGTTGCAGGATCCAGTTTTGGTGATGAAGCGGGCTCTCTGGGACCTGGAGTGGCTGCGGTTCGGCTGGTTCTGGTCCTCTGCCAGCCGGGTCAGCAGGAAGCCGTCCGGCAGGAGGCCCTTCCTGGCCAACATGATGCTGCACAAACAAACAACAAACAAACAAACATCAGATGAAGACAACTGTAAACAACACCTGATCTGGTTCTGTTCAGAACCGGGTCCATCTCAGCTGCAGAACATTTGGTTTTCTGGAGAGTTGAACCCAACAGTCAAGCACTGAAACCAGGTCAGAATTTATTGTTTTAACTATATATATATATATATATGTGTGTGTGTGTGTGTGTGTGTGTGTATATATATATGTATGCATGTATGTATGTATGTACAAATCAAATTGAAATGAAAGGAGGCAGAAAGAAGAAAAATATAAGATAATATTATTTTTATTATAATTATAAAAAATATTAAGAAAAATAGAAAGCTTAACTGTTTAATTTGAACACTTTCAAAATAAAAGCAACTGTTTTTAAGTTTTGCAGTCGTTTTATTCTGAAATGTTTCTCGTTCATGATGCAAACTTAATGATCTCCACAGGTGAAGCTTCTCTGGGTCGTTTTTCATTTAGAATAATAATATGGTGACGTCATAAATCTTCTTCCTGTTTCAATTGTAAAACGTTTAATCCGGAAAAAATCTGGAAAAAACAAAGAAACTGAGCTCAGATTGTTGAGGAAAAATATGTTTTTTCATCGCGGAGGAGTCACATCACCTTCATCCCGAACATCAGTAGCAACACACACACACACCTGTGCGAGCACACACACCTGCAGGAGGTCACGTGCTGTTACCTGTGCAGGACTCAGCAGGTCGGACTACCAGAAACCGGGTTGTTTCGGGTTTTTTATCTGGACGTGATCCGCAGCTCGGACTCCATCATTCACCCATCAGGATGTTCAGACGCGGGTCAATGTTCGACAGGTGACCATACAACTTCCGGTTTGCGCCTTCAAAATAAAACAAACTACCCGATCTGATTTATGGCCAATTTATAGTTTATAGTCACTGTTTTAATAATGTTTGTTTATTATTTAACTCAATTTAGTTTAATCATTTAACATAGTTAAAATTCATCGTTTTTAACTACAGTTCTGGCTGGTCTGAGTTATTGTCGAGTTTTTATTAAATTATATTAGTTTACAGATGTTTAGTTTGTAAGTCTAGTTTTTTATTCCTCTGACTCACCTGATCCAGGTGTCTCATCTCCACATCTGGAATAAATTGTTATGTTGGTCCCTCGTTCTGCTCTGTAATTTAGTCTTTTAAAAATGTTTTAGTAAGAAGCATTTTTATTGTTCTCCTAACTAAACGTTCATTTAAAAATTATTATAATATTTACAGATATTTTGTGTCTGTTTAAACTTTTGTGCAAGTTGTTCCGGTTGTGAACTGTGTGTTAATGTCTTGAACTTGACCAGGTGCAGCAGGATGCTGAACAGGTGGGATGTGCAGAGACTTCCTGCTGCCTGCAGGGGGCAGCAGAGGGCGGTTCACCTCCAGAGAAATAAGAAAGGTCATCAGGATTTTAATCATTTATGAAGTAAAAGACAAATAAAAGGAGTCCTGATCATGTTTCAAACCAGCTTTTATTATCAACATGTGCCTCAAACACATCCACAATCAACCATAACATTATGACCACCTGAAGCCCTCCTCTGGGCAGCATCATGTTGTGGGGCTGTTTTGCAGCAGGAGGAACATAAAACTGATGTCATCATGAGGAAATGAACAGGTGGAAACACTGATATCAGCCAGGAAGTTAAAACTTTTACATAAATTGGTCTTCTAAATGTACAATGACGCTCAGCTTACAGCTTCAGGACAATAAAGAGGAGCAGCCATCATGAAGCCCTGATCTCACTTCAGAAATTAATACAAAAGTCAACAAACTCAAACCAGTTCTTTCGAGAGGAATGGAGCAAAAAGCCAGAAAACTATTGAGAAACTTGTGGAAAGAAACCCCAGATCATTTGACCACCACACCAAACACCAAGAAAACGACTTTGATGAAATTTTAAAAAATTCTCAAAGTGTTCAGATAGTTAAGAAATTTAAATAATTGTATAAATCCTAACTGACCTAAAACAGTAAAGGTTTTGTTTAATTTATAGCTATACAGAGAGAAATTATTATTTTATAAGTTTTTATTCGATATATCTATAGATTTTATATATAGATATAAACATATTTTTAAAATATTTGCTTATAAATTTATATAAGATGTAGGAATATTTTATTTTATTTTCTCTTTGTTATCTGTTCTGCACCCATGCCTCTTTGTTTTGTATTTATTTGTATTACTGCCTTGTGGTTTGTGTAAAGCTTTCAATAAAAAAAATTTAAAAAGATGTCAATCAAGTGACAGATTCCTGACATGTGGGCGGAGCTATGAAGCGTCCCCGCCCCCTTAGGGTTGCGCAGGCGCAGCAGCAGCTGTCGCTAGCTCCGGTGTTGGTGTTAACAGTTCTGTTTACCGTTCTGCTCGCTCCGGGACGGGGTGACACGGACCACCGGTGACAGCGGGGCGTCGGAACCAGCCCGACCCAGCTGGAGGCGGGGTCTCCGCGCGGCGGGAGGCTCGGTTCTGGGCGGAGTCGCTGTGGTTAGCTGGCGGAGCTAACGGGCAGCCTGTTCTGCTACAGCCGCGAGCCGGACCGAACCCCGCCGCCGAGCGGGAACCCGGAGCCGCAGGATGCTATCAGGTTAGCTCCGGGCCCGAACCAGCCCCGCCTCTTCCCCTCGTGTCGTTGCTCTCAATGATCACCGTGATGGAACCGAACCTCCAGCCGCAGGTCCAGGAGAACTCCTACAAGAGTGAGTAGCTGCTGCTGTGTTGTCTGTGGAGGAGGCTGATCCCTGACCTCTGACCTCTGACCTCTGACCCTCCACCTGCAGTGACGGAGGAGGACGTGAAGAGGCTGATTGAGTTCCGAGCCTCCAACGAGGTTCTGTTCACCGGGAGGAGGAATTCTGCCAAGATCGCCTGGAGGTGAGAAGGTCCAGAGGCGAGAAGCCCTGAAGAACTGATGTTCCAGATGTTTGCTGCTTCATGCTTTAACAACAGAAGAACCAGAACCAGAACCTCTGAGCAAACTTTACCATGTAACCTGGTTCTGCTCAGAGATCCAAAGACTCTTAAACTGGATCCGCTGGAGGTTCTGCTCTAGATTCTGTTGAAGATAAAATGTTTAAGTATTAATCTTATAAGTAAAAACACAGCATTTGATTTAAATTGAAACATGTAATGATACTAATGAAGGGGCGGAGCCAGAGGGGTGCCCAGGGTGGCACCTGATCAAAGCCACCCCAGGTGTCACTGTGGCTGCTCGATACTGTCCAGGTAACACTGTTGTTAGCATGTAGCATTTAGCTAAACTGATGACAGAATTCATCAGATTTCAGTTTTTCACCAGCTGATGTTTCATAGAAAAGTCAACGTTTGCAGCAGATGTGGATTTTTATTACAGGAAAAAAAAAAAAAACGAAGATGAGTTATAACACAATGGTCTAGAAAATAGCAAGTTATTATAAATAAATATGTACGCATCGTAAATTTATATCTTATTAATCAAAATATATTCAGTATTAAAACTGTTTTCAGAATATAATGTAATGAACTGTTCAAATTTGGGCATTTAGAGGAAAAAAAGCAGTAAATATCTGTCAGACAGCTGTTTACTAAATTAATATAAAACAACAACTGTGTGTTTAAGAACCTGTTAATGTTAATTATTATGTGACATGTAGGGTCCAGTCTGTTGGACAGGGACCACTGTTTTTAACTGATGACTTGACTGAACCACCACACCAAATTTCAGCTCAGTGTGTTTAGAAAAAGCAGACTTATAGCCGTTTAAATTTAGCTTTGGTGGCCATCTTGGATTTTTAAATTTGAATTCAGAATCCGCTGGGCGTCAGCCACCACACATTAAATTTGATCTTAATATCTCTAAAAATGTCTGATAGATTTAGTATTTCTTCTTTGTTAGCTTAGGTTGATGGTCGGCTACTAACATACCAAGTTTCAGCTTAGCATTAGCCCATAGCTTAAAGCTGAAGTTTTCTATAAGAATATCATGAGGATCGATTGTATCTTTTTGTAAAATTAGCATTTAGCTTAAATTGGATTAGCAATCGGCACAAAAAACACAACGTGTTTCGTCAAACAGCTGAATTATAGCCATTTTAAATTAGCTGCATCAGTTGCCTTGAATTTTTTAATTCAGAATCCAGAATTTATTTATTTTTTTAAGTATGTGCCCCCCTAAAAGCCACCTTGGCCACCCCTATAAACAGTCTAGCTCCGCCCCTGAGCTGATGTTCTGTCTCCTCAGCACCATCCTGAAAGGTCTGGGTCTGGAGGGAAAGCTAACGGCGGATCAGATCGCCAAGAAATGGGACAACCTGCGGACCAAGTATAAGGTGCCGATGCAGATCCTGTTCAACACCGAGGTCTGGTTCTGAGACCTGATCCAGGTCTCTGTGCTCCTCTTCCAGGACCTGAAGCAGCCCTATCAGGGCCAGGAGCACATCGGGGGGGTGGTGGTGGAGTCCTGGCCCTGGTTCCACATCATGGACGAGGCCATGCAGGGTCGCCTCTACAACAGCGACCTGGTTCTGAGTCCGGAGACCGCCGGCAGCGCGGCCCACCACGCCGACAGCCGGCCCAGTCAGAACCAGGAGAACACGGACATCCTGGAGTTCCTCATCAAGACTGAGATGGACGAGACGGCGGCAGCGGCGGAAACAGCTGAGGAAAGGACGGGTCGCTCAGAGGCCCCACCCACCACGGGGGTCCCGATGGGCTGGAGGAGGATGACCGAGTGCTCGTACAAAAGTAAGCAGAACCGCTAGAACAGAACCAGGCCAGAACACACTAGGGACGACGCAGGAGAGGTTCAGCTTGACTTTTATTTTGAAAGACTTCCTGTTTTTGTTTCCAGTGACAGAGGCAGAAACGGAGAGGATGATCAAACTGAGAGCTGCAAACGAAGCGCTGTTCACCGGCAGGAAGCACTCGGCCAAGCCGGCCTGGAGGTGAGCTTTAACCATTGATATATTACTGGAGTGGGTGTGGCTAACATTGATATATATTACTGGAGTGGGCGTGGCTAACATTGATATATACAGTATTACTGGAGTGGGCGTGGCTAGCATTCATATATATTACTGGAGTGGGAGTGGCTAACATTGATATATATATTACTGGAGTGGGCGTGGCTAACGTTGATATATACAGTATTACTGGAGTGGGCGTGGCTAGCATTCATATATATTACTGGAGTGGGCGTGGCTAGCATTGATGTATTACTGGAGTGGGTGTGGCTAACATTGATATATATTACTTGAGTGGCCGTGGCTATTGCGTTGATACATAATACTGGAGTGGGCGTGGCTAGCATTGATATATATTACTGGAGTGGGCGTGGCTAGCATTGATATATATTACTGGAGTGGGCGTGGCTAACATTGATGTTTATTAT